CTGAAGAGGCGCTGTTAGATGATTGTTCGCGTCTACTTTCTGGACAAAAAGCTGAAAGAAAGTGACTTCCAAAAGCTTGTTCAATGATTCATATGATAGCTGATCTTGCTTGTCGAAGGTGCTGTATATGGATACGAAGATATTCACAGTCGAACCACTCAACAATCGACAGTCGGCGTGAACTTTTCAGCAAGAGTCAGCAGAAGTCCGCAGTAGCAAAAACCATGGGCTGCAGTCATTTTCCGCCCTATGTGATGGCATTCGCATCACCGGAAAACGCCGTTGATCCTGATCAACGCAAACTCGAAATCAATGCTGCCACTGTTTATCAGCAAGTTCTACGGGACGTACTGGAGCCTTGGAGTACTCGACGCTTTAGCGGCGACGGATTTACAGTTCAGCAGAACTGAGGTTTGTGCATTCGTCGTTAAAACGATTGCCATCTGTCAAGAGCAATTTCCAAGCTTTTGGCGCAAGGACATTTGGCCGTCAAACTCGCCGGATCTCAACCATATGGATTACTCCGCGTGGTTCATATTGAAGAAAAAAGTCTCGACTACTCGTAACTAACGTAGACGCGCTTTGAGACGAAATCACGATGGAAACGTGTGCGAGCATTGTTGGAAATTTTCGCAAGTGACTTCGTAAATGTCTAGAGGCCAGAGGAGGCACTTTTAAAACCTTGTCATGAACCTTTATGGGTTCTTTTCTGTTAGACGGCTATAAATGAAGAAGCGATCCTTTTCGCTAGACAAAGAATTTCCATTGCACCTTTAGAAACCATTCAAGAGCTTAATCTCCGGCTATGGCGCTGCCCCACCTTTTTTGATAAGAGTCTTCTTATAACGCTTTATTGAAGGGAGAACATTTAGCCTTTCACACGCGAAAAGGCACAGCTTTTCTTTTAGATCATTAGTAATCATCCGATAATGTAGGGTTGAACAATCCCACCGTTTGTGCTTATTTTCTGGAAAGACCGTTTTATCTACACTGTAGCTGGGAATTTGAGATTGATTCGCATAAACGGGCATTTGTTTTTTGGCTGATCTGCTCGCTGTGGAAAGGGTGCAGGGAGGGGCTTGCTCGTGATTCAGTACGACGATTGATCGATGACGCTTAGGAAGCTTGTTCGATTTTTGCTATCAATTTAGGATTTTTTCTCTGTGTCGAAGGAACCTCTGATACTAAGAGATTTTCTCTACACGTTCATGTGCTTTTCATGTCCCCATTGAAGTAAGAGTAAAGTTGTGCGGTCGATGTAAACACAATTTTATTTTGAATTTCATAGTGTTGCAAAAGTGTGTTTTAATAAATGGCTACGTAGAGCAGTAACCATATTTGAGCATTCGGATTACTTCTAACACTCTCATCAAAACTTTTTGTCCAGATCGAGGAAAGGGATCGTTTCTTCAATTCTGGCTGTCTAACAGAAAAGAACTTTTTTGCTTATTGGACGACTGAAATTTGCGGTTCAACCGTATTTAGCGAGTACAGATGAAAATAGAATGCTGTCTTTGTGGGTATAGAAAATTATTGTACACAGGAAGCAGCTAGTTCATCGAGTGTGCAAAGCTACAAAAACAGTGATTTTGAGCTGCTAAGATATATTCAACTGCAAAGAGGAACTGTGAGCGTATGCGGTCACGATATGGAAGTACCTACATTTTTGATCACTGTTTCAACAATAACTTCAAACCCGATTTTCGCCCCTTTTTCATTGCAGCAGGTCTCATATACTTCTACGTAATTGCTCTCCAGCGAACAACTATTTTTTATTTTCTTTTTAAATTGACCTACGTGACTGGTGATGCAAAGATCTTATTCATTAGAATTACTTTCTTACTACCGCCACTCACGAGAGTTCTGAAGTTTTTTTCTTGCGTATGCTTCTGGCAGTTGCCTGAAGGTCTTTTGTCTTCATCATGAGTGCTGTTGGACACTGATCTTGGTGATTCTTTCTAGAATCCTGAGATAGGTGTGCTACATCGTACCCGCATGAATTAGGCTTATCTCGAATTTAAAACTATGAAGATTGAGAGGCTTGATATTCAGGTCACCATTGAACATGCATGAGAGCCGTCTGCGTTGTAAACACGGTCATTATCACAGAGCTATAGCTTTTGAAAAAAAAGACTGTCGTCCGAAAATTGACTGATAGAGCATTGTTATGTTGAGAAGACTCTGCCAGAAAAATTGATGACATGTGCATTATCATCAGTCCCCTCGCAACTTATATCCATTTGTAACCGGCCTAGTCTAAACTCCTTACAAGATTTTCTCTTCCAGCTCTATTTCAGAAGAAGACCAGTATCACCAACTGATAAATTAACTAGATTATCGTATTCCAACAATGTATGTAATCAATTATCAGTTGCAGCACCTTCAGTTCCCAAATGCGACATTGTAGACAAAACTGTCTTTTTCCTTACAGGCAGCGGAAACGAACCAAGGATAAAAAGGGTTTATATCTCGGCGTTGATCAGTCCTCTGAGAGATGCACTATGCATTGTTTTCCAATTTTCAATTTCTTTTGAGGTGACTGACTGCATCTCTTCCCTCTACAATGACTCGTGGTGGGCCACCGTCGAGTCACTGTTGTTAAAACTCCCAGACAAGTCTGGTATCAGTTTGCTAACCTCAAAGGAATGGATGACTTGGTAAGTAGTGGGCGCGCGATTGTCACATCATCAGCGTATGAGACGCAGATCGCTTGTAGCCATTGCGCTACAAAGGGAGTGGAAACCGCCTTGTCAAACCCACACCCTCAGCACGTCATTTCCATCGAAAATCGTTTCTCGAGAAGTAGAATGGTCATTGCACGATATGGGAGTCACCTAACTAGCAAATAGATACTCAGATTGATATTATCCTCACCAGCAAAAGACGATGCCATTTTGCACTTAACTAGTTCCGTTATTTTGTACTAGAATTCTCCATCCCTTTTTTTGTTCGGAGAGTCCATTCTGCCGCGAGCTGAATAAGTAATTTCCATTAGCTGAGAAGAGTGTGGTTGCATATGAAAAAGATATTTTAAACAAAATCTTATCTAGGCATGGCCGGCAGTTTAATGAATGTGTCAGATCACATGAATTCATAACTTACGTCAAAGATCGAAAATCAAAGATACCACTCTACACACCACGCCATTGAAGATAAGGTGGGCCGCACACTTAATGCGTCTTAACGATAACGATGGCAGAGCTGTTTTCGACTGGATTAATCGGGATGTGAAGCCACCACAGGACGACTACCAGTCCGATAATTTCGATTTCTTCACGAAAAGCTTAGAAGAAAGATATGATACTCAACAAATTTTCTAAAGCGAGAAGGACCCATTGGGCTACTTTTACATTATAAGAGATATGGTGTTTGCTAGTGCTTAGTGGAGTCGCTTGGCAGTTGACGGGAAGATAGGTGATGTACGTGATCTCCATTGATGAAGATGGAAACTCCTTAGAAACTGTGCAAAAAGAACTAACGTCAAAAAAATGCCGCTGGTTCCTCTCTATCATAATACACCACAGTCATCCCTGATGAAGGGAAAACGAACCGCTATCACGTCATGCCACCATATAAATTTTAAGACGGGGAAGTTTTGTACAAAACTCTCTTTTTCTAAGATTCCTATCTCTGGTTTCACAAATTTGTTAGAGAAAAGACCCTTTGAGAGCGTTTTCTTTGAAGATCAAGTAGCGATAGAAAGCATGAAGAGAGGCACAGCTTTAGGACACAAAAATACTACAGCCAAATTCCTCCAAGCTGAAGCCGCAGGTTACATGCATTTTTTGGGACTCACACTGGGTCAAACTCTCAGAAGGAGAGATTTAAATATCAGAGCTAAAAATTTTTGGAATTATTTGAATGTTTATTACGAGGTTTTAAAAACACTCGATTTTATGGATTGTTTTGGTGTGCCAGCCGAACTGCAGCGACTGAAAAAGGTGGTGGACCAGTGTCATTGTACACTATGCCATCACCACATATCACATACGCCTCCGCTACAATGCAAGGCTTAATGTGGGGCGGGGGTCACTGACGAGGAGGCCGAAACATCCGAAACACCGGTGTATGGCCCTGGCGTACCAATCTCGTTTAGGCTAAAAACCTTTTTTTGGAATTATTTTGAATGTTCATTACGAGGTTTTGAAAGCAGTCGATTTTATGGATTGTATTAAAAAATTTCCGAAGTACATTCTTTCCTTTATCAGATTGCTAACTGAGTGAAATGGGAGCAAAAGTTAGTGGAATTATTTTGAGAATTCGCCACACAATCTCGTTAACAGTTGATCGCATGCGGTTGGTCGCACTCCTGAGACTGCGAAAGGGCACTGGTGATGGCAACGTGGGACGCGTTCATCATCCATAATCAAAATTACGTATTCGCAGCGCGTCTCTAACAGCTCACTCAGGACAGTCATGAAAATGCATAGCTCTTTACCACATTAACAACGATCTGAGTTGTTTCAACTTAGACCGAACGCCGCTTGTGCGGTGTCGCGGGGGAGTTTTCATTATCACGTCTTGCGATTGAAATTTGTAAATTTGTAAAGATAGCAGAAGAGACCTCTACAAAAAGTTGTATAGTTAAGAAAATGCCCACGTATCGAAAAATCATGTGTTGTAAAAGGGAACATATCTCAAGCTCTTATATAACTTCGTTTGTTTCTTTTTCATCGATGTTTTGTGGTCATTCGATAGCTTGCAAAATGCCTATTTTCCTACTACGTTTGTTTTGTGAAATGACTTTTGTCAAACCTGCTAATGAAAAAAGTTAACGTTTTGCAAGCAAAGTTCGTTTCAGTGGGTATCTGCCTTTTCTCTCGAGATTCGAGGCTTTAGGAAAAAGCATCGCCATTGTTTCTGCTACCAACTGCTTTACCGATGTCTCTTCTATTATATTTTGCCTTTTACTAGTGACGAAATTCCTTTTAGAGAAAATCCACATTTCATTGAAAAACCATCACAACGTCCTAAGGGATTAGTGTGGTGAGCAAAAACACCGCCTCAGGCGGGAATCGAACCCACGTTTCACCTTATCCGGAGAGGCGTGCTCTACCACTGCACCACCGAAGCACATATGCGCCACCACTCATTCTTCAACAGCTGTATGCTAGCTGTTAGCCACCGAACCTTTTAACATGGTTTAGTCGGGTATGTGATTTCGCTTTATAAATCTAGTTGAGCTGACAGCCACTGTGATACCTATTATTCGAAATTTCTAGTAGTTTTTGCTCACAACTCAATTCTCCTAGGAATATCTGAGTAATCATGACACTGCGAAAAAATGCAGTAAAATACCAGAAATTTCGAATACCACAACACTATTGTAGCCGTCACGCTCGCCGCGCAACAGCATCACGTGCCGCGCAGGATTTCAATGCCGTTGTCGTTAACTGTCAGCAATACAAGCCGGAATCTGTTTCTATTTTGAATCAAGACGCTATTTTTGCCGCAGCTCTCGTATATCTTATCGAATGCTGGCAGTGTTTTTATATGCAAAGGCCTTACAATTATTCTGCAACATGCGATTCAATAACACCATGCATGATATTCTCCTTCCCACTTTTAGTCTTTTAAACTTATTGTGAAAATCTCCAATAAATCGTTTGTGGTTTGAAGTAGGTAACATTATTCACCATAAGTCAATGTAGATTATTCTAACTGATTAGGAAACATCATTGGCTCGTTTCTATGAAAAAACTCCGGACTCCCAACACAATCTTTACCTGGCAGGTAAATCACTGACCGAACATAGATTTCTTTCAGATACTTTTCATACTCTTTTATTCCACGGATAGGATTTGCCGGTAATTGTATAGAATAGCACTACCGTCTTACAGTATTTATTATCATAGAGACGTTCAGGCATTCATTCAGTCCTCGCTGAATTTCTGCATGGATATATCCCAAGCTTTCGCATTTTTGGACAATTTGCAGTGAATTGTTAGAGCACATAGAAGTCCGATAATTAAGCATTCCCCCAATTTCCATAAACGGCACTCTTTGTGATACTGTTACTATTACTCAGTTAAAGTAGGAATGACTATCATCAGTTCGTCAGTTATATTAGTAAAAAAATTTGTTAAAAATGGCCTCAATAATATTAAAGTGCTGTCTGTCAATGAGTTTACGTCAACCTATGTTTTTAAACAAGATTTATTCTCACTTTTCATTTCAGAACACTAAAGAACCGTTGAAAGCAGTCATTGTGTTGCATCTTCTTCTAAGTCTGATTCTGATTCTCACTATATTCTTCACTATAATCTTCTTCCTGAAAAAGAATCAAGCGATTATAGAAGCAAGTCGTTTCTTTGAATAAAATCGTTACATTGGTGGCAATGAGGTAAAGACAAGCAAAAATTTGTTCAGCTCCTCTTCTCTCGGTGTTACATCCATATTTAGTGTCGGGATCCATATAGTCTGCCTAGACATCTTGTATGTATTTCCAATCTGTGAGTCGACATGCACAGGCTATTAAATCAAGAATGACATTTGACCAAGGGGATAGCTTACCTCTTCAAAGAATAGAGGAATAACTTTTTTGAAAGCGTGACTTAGGTTCCTAAATCGCCATAATATTACAGAGAATATACGAGTATCCCAAAGAGCGTCAAAAATGTTGAAAAGAGCAGAACATACCTTCCTTTAGAGGTAAGAATCATGTAATATTCTGCATTTGGCGACAAGGGAAACTGTACAGTAGCATTTTGTGCCCTATCAAATTCGGTCTTTGCAAGGTTTTCAAGCCCACAGTCCCACACCTAAAGTAAGCACCCATAATATGGCGGATGACGTTGATTGCAAACGAGACTTTTGAAACAAAATATTGATATCCTTTCTTTGTTTCAACAAATTTGTCTTTTCGCTTTTTGACCAAAGGGTATAAAATAAACTGGGTGAAAGCGAATGTCAGTAAGAATTGCTCTAATGTGGACGCTGAATTGAGTGAACCGCTACATGAGCCATCAGTTGAGTGGAAGTTGATCAGGGGTACCTCGCCAAGCTCTGCAGGTCACTCATGTCAATAAGTTGACTTTCGGCTTCGCTTAGATGTTGGAATATTCGAACTCTTTACATCCTTGTTAGTTGTGATTTTGCAGGAGTCATCGCCTCGAACCATTTCTTTACACCAAGTAAAACCTATCAACAGTAACGAAGTAGCAGATCAAAAGCATTAATGTGTATTCTTCAACAATTCAAAGAACCGTGTCCAAATTATGGAAAGGCTCAAGATAAGGGCGCCTACCTTCTCCAGTATATCAAAGAATTCACTACAGCAGCAGTCAGCTAAGCCACTTTCTGCCCTTGCAGACTGCCAAAAAAAAAAACGCTACGTTTGAAGTCCACGTAATAACTCTTCATTTTCTTCCAATACATGCTTTCGGATAAAAATACTTCTTTAATGGAATTATGTTGCAATACTCTGCTATAATTATCGTTAAATAGCTACTTACCACAGGAAATTTATGTGCTTTGTGAAAATTTTCGAATCTTTTTTTGAGCCTTCGGTTTTGAGTGAGCAAGTTTCATCCGCTAAAAATATTGTCTTTAAACTATGAGGCATCAATTTATAGTCAAAAAGCTCATTCATGAACGTAAAGGACAAAATACTCGTATGATCTGTTACTCACTCACGAGCGGGAGCGTAGCGGCGCTCGACAGAGCATAAACCACCTAAAAATTGCAGTATTTATCACTCAATAGTATTGGTAAGCAATCATAACGTTTCAAATACTTACAGATATGATGAGAGCCGAATTTTGGTACATGCCGTGTCTAGGGTAGCGTATCCCTCGTATCGTATTTATACGTTTACAAAACTGTTCATTGATGATAATGGACAAAAACATTTCTCTCGAACTTCCACTCCATGTCAACATGTTTTGTATGACCATATCGTATTTCAAAACCGAAGGAACTGACAATATCAGCTGCACAATCCAACTACCCTGAATTCATGGTTTGGTTTCAGAAATCTAATTTTTTCTGAGATTTTCAGTTAGCTTTGAATATGAGTTCATTTTGAAATGACATACCTTCCTTTCGAGTGCTTTATTAAGACCACGCCGAATTTTCAATAAATCCTTTCATTATTATTTGAGCCAAACTTGTCATGTGGTCTGATAAGGGCTCTTGTACAGCCCGATACACGTGTTTCGTCCTTACAGACTCATCAGCCGGGCAGAACCCGTCGTCTTTCGATATTTTTATAGTCAGTTCTCTCGGGAGCTCAAATAATAATCAAAGGATATATTAATTTGAGCGTGATCCAAACAAAGCACTCGAAAGGAAGGTATAATATGATAAAAATACCAGCCAGCAATCGAGTGCGAAAACACTCCGTGTTAGGTGAAAATTTCGCTTGACATAGAGTGTAAAAACGTTCTTCTCCGATAAACTCTCTGTAAGGGAGCGGAGCTCCCGAGAGAATGACTATAAAAATATCGAAAGACGACGGGTTCTGCCCGACTGACGAGTCTGTAAGGACGAAACACGTGTATCGGGCTGTACAAGAGCCCTTACCAGACCACATGACAAGTTGGCTCAAATAATAATGAAAAAATGACATAGTTCAACAAATTACACAGAGTCCGTTCAAATTCTTTTTCTGCATAACGGTTTTTGGCAACTTCTGCTCTTTGTCGTATAAGGTGTATAACATTATAGCGTGAAGTTCGAGATTTGGTTTCTTCATATGAAGTTAGTTGAAGTCATTAAATTCCTTATTCTCATCTTCACAGATCATTGTTTTGTGATACCAACTTGAACAGAATCTGTTTCATGGAATTCGTGTCCACAGTCGCTAAATGTAAGCTTCGTATCAGTTGAGTAAAGCTCTTTGACACAGAAAGGCGCAACATATGCTATCAAAAAGAAAACAGTGCGATTTTCTAATGCGAAGAATAACAAGCTGTTCGTGTATACTTTGTTCGACGCGACCCCTCGCTGCTGATTTCAAAGCACTGCAATTTATTCGAACATAAATATTATGGATAAAACGTCATGCAACTAAACTGAGCTGTTTAAAACAGCATAATTCCATGAATCATCTGAATTTCTATGCTTATCAGATACTATTATTGGAATGTTGACATTTTTCCGTATGATTTTTTATTTTAGAAATTAGCTTTCTTTTGGAACGGCATTAGTAGGCGAGATGATGTGATACAATATTTTCAGAATCGGCAGAAAAAAAAGGTTTCCAGTTGTCGTGTGATATTCCTCGTCTCACGCCACAGGCCAAATGAAATATAGCGGCAATGCTGGTGGTGCTAGTATAGTAAACCAAAACCATTATTTCAGATTTAGACATTTTATACAAGGTAGATGATAAAGCATTTGATGTCAATCAATCGCTGAAGAATGCTTTATACATTGCACGTCATTAGAATTAGTGGAGATGATGTAACATTTAGAACTCGGGTCTAACCAAACCCAAAAATATTATGAAAGCCAAGTTTCTGGAGCGATGCAGTAAATCTCATGTTGCTGGACTACGCAGCGCTTTGCATATGGTGTTAGAAAACATGTTAACTGGAGTGAAAGATCAACCGACATGCTTATGTCCATTATAATGTTCTCTCGAATCGCACAGAAAGAGATTTCAATTTTTTCACAAAGTGCACATGTTTTCGACTGGTATGTGGCAGTTCAACGATAATTAAAGCAGATTGCGACAATAGTTCACTACAAAAGTGTTTTTATCTGAAAGCGTGTTGTAAGGAAATGGAAGGGTGACCACGTAAACTATAAATGTAGCCTTTTTTCTGGCAACTTGCATGGACAAGATGAGGTTCAACTGCCTCTACAGTAATGGATGATCTGGTCTACTGGTCTAGATCGATGAAATCTTCACGAACAGAGGATGGTGAGTAATTTACTATTTCAGAAATCCATCGCTTTGCACCTGCGCCTATAAACACCATCTTTGCACAAAGAGTCATACTACCAGAAAGCCGAGAAATGATACACTGTATCGTTTAAAAGAAAAAGCATGACTCTTTTGCCTGGAAATTCTATGAAATCCTTCCCAAACATAACAGTTCAAGGAATACTCAACCGTGGAGGCTCCA